TGTCAATTAATAATTCAAGTACAATATTTAATCTAAATCAACTTTTATTTAGGTATGGAAGAGTAAATTATGTTCTAGCGAAAAGACTTCAGTTATTAAATGAAGTACAGCGTTTACAAGATTTAATGGATGTAAAGGGAGATATGTCGTATACTTGTGAAACAGCTATGCACTTTTTCTGGTCTCATGTACTACCCCGCTGGAATAAATACTTAACAACATTGAAAAATCTGGAAGAAAATTCTGATGGTGTAAGTTCAACTAATTCACTTTCATTGATATATCAAATATTTATTTCTAAACTTTTAGGTGATTTCAATTAATATTGTCAAGGATAACTTCCCATTTAATCTTTTCTTCAGTGATGCTCCTCAGCCATTATTCAAATGTCATAACTTAGAAGAGGATAAGGAAATTGCTAGAGGTTGTTTTAGGTATATAGATTTTTTTTATAAATAGTAATAGTGATATTTAACCATTTGTCATTTAAATTTGTAGAATTTATCAAGCACTTGTTAATATATTATTATATACATTATTTTCATCAATAGGCATATCAAAAAAATATTCAAGCAATTAGACGAGTTCCGAGCTTTTGAATTGCTTAGAACTGGTTTAGATCGTTCTCGATACTTATTGGTAAAAGAAGTTAAAATTATAGCAATGACATGTACTCATGCAGCATTAAAGCGTAAAGAACTTATAGAGCTTGGCTTTAAATATGATAATATACTTATGGAAGAATCAGCTCAAATTCTTGAGATAGAAACTTTTATTCCTTTATTACTTCAAAATTCTGATGATGGATTTAGCCGCTTAAAACGATGGATAATGATTGGTGATCATCATCAATTACCTCCAGTAATTAAAAATATGGCTTTTCAAAAATATTCCAATATGGAGCAATCATTATTTACTCGCATGGTCAATTTAGGAGTTCCTACTATTGATTTAGATGCTCAAGGACGTTCACGACCTAGGTATTTAAAATTAAACAATACATAGTATTTTTAAAAGAAAATAAATTAAAGAATTTGTGAACCTTATTATTTCTAGTTTGAGTCAACTATACAATTGGCGTTATAACAACTTGGGAAATCTTAACCATGTGTTAACTGCTCCAGAATACCATAAAGCCAATGCTGGTTTCTCTTATGAATATCAGCTAATTGATGTCGGGTTATTTAATGGTGTTGGAGAAACTGAACCAAATCCCCATTTCATCCAGGTTATTCTATATTTTATTTTCTACGAATATTTTATCAATCATAATGTATATAATTTTTAGAATTTAGCAGAAGCAGAATATTGTGTGTCTGTCTACATGTATATGCGACTAATTGGTTATCCTGCTAGTAAAATTACTATTTTGAGTACATATAATGGTCAAAAACATTTGATCAGGGAAATCATAAATATGCGATGTGGTTCTAACCCACTCATTGGATGGCCCCACAAGGTAATTATTAAAAAATACTGCTGCTCTTGGGTAGTTTTTTTTTTTTTGTATTAAAGGTTTAATGTTTAATATACAGGTGACTACAGTAGATAAGTATCAAGGTCAGCAAAATGATTATGTACTTTTGTCATTAGTAAGAACTAAAACTATTGGTCATTTAAGAGATGTCAGACGTCTTGTTGTTGCTATGTCAAGAGCAAGGCTTGGTCTATATGTTTTTGCTAATGTATCACTATTTAGCAATTGCTTTGAATTATCACCATCATTTAAACTTGTAAGATTATAAATTAATTAATTCTAAACATTGATTATAACTTTAAATTTTGTTTTTAGTTAACAAAACGACCATTAAAACTACATCTTTTACCAGATGACTATTACCCTACTAATAGACTACTTGATAGTCCAGTAGAGGCGCAAGATAAAGTTTTTATTGTACAAGACATGCCTGAAATAGCGAAATATGTATTTGATTATTATTTATTACGAGTTCAAGAATTAAAACGAGTTCACCAAGTTTGTATTTATTATATAACGATACTTCTATACCTTTGTATTTTATTTATTTGATTGCATAATATGGCATGATAGTATTGATAGTGTATAAAATAAAGAAATCAATAAACTATAATAATAACAATGTAGTTAATAGTTATTGATTATGTATTGTTACTTTTTACTATAGGAATTTAAACCAGTAGATGATTGGATTAAACCTGGAGAAGCAGTAACATCTGTAGAAAAAAAAATCATTAGGTCTAACCATTCTGGCTTAGAATCGGACTCTGAAGATGATGATGATAATGAAAATGAAAATGAAAATGTTATAAAAGAGGAAAAAGAAAGGATTGGACCTGTACAAATTGATGAAACTGATAACAAACAATTACAAAAAATGGATGTGGATGACTTAAGTGCATCACCAGAAATTAATACAACAGTTTTAGAAAAAATTGAAACTATGGAAGAAAATTGATTGTTTGACTACCTACATTATTAGTTTTAAAGGTGTAAAAAATGTTGTATGTAAAAATAAAATGTACATGTTCAGTTTGACCATAGACTTATAATAAGTCTATGAGTTTGACATTTCAATATCCAACAATCACTGATAATAAAACCTTTTTGATAAGTATTGTAAAAATATTTTTTTATTAAAAGGTTATTTGTTGCTTTTGAAAACTACTGGGAACCTCTCAATACACCTACTAGATTCACTTAACCACCAGAAAAGCTACTGAAGTTGAAAATCAAAGCATTATTTTTATTGTTTATTGTGTACACACACACAAATACGAATAAAAGAACACACATATACATTCATCCGTTCAAAATTTAAATTAAATTTATGAATTTTTAACATAATTAATAATCAATAATGAACACTTAGTAATCAATTAAATTATGTTAAAATTACTATCAATTTACCTGAAAAAATTACCCTAAGTACACAGCTACCTATGTGGTGATTAAATAATTATTTACCACCGTTCCATCAACTCATAAACATATGACTATATGAGTATACGTTAAATGACTGAAAGAAATAACAATATAATGTTTTTCAGACCAGAAATATAAATTGAAAATGATAAAATAAGTGTCTAACTTCCAGTTTATTAATTATGACTAGAATATAAACAATTATCCTTTTAATTCTGATGATTAAGGTAGTCGCTCAAATTTTTTTCTGTATCCACCTGGGTTATTGATACGTTTTTATTTTTCTAAGCTCGTGACCATTGGATCTGTGGTATGAGTAGCAGAGGCTAAAATACTATTATTATTTTTGTATCACACTTTAAATAGAACTTGAAGGACTTTGCCCTCCCCTCCCTCAAAAGTATATTTAATCCATACACATAAGCATAGGGTAGTCAATTATGGTATCAACTATTGACCTTGAAAACACTATCTATGATGCATTCATTGAAGAAAAAACTGTAAAAAAAAAGTTTCTAATTATTACAGGCCATTACACACTTTCATTTCTTACTACGCATTTGGTATTTTGTACTAAACACAATTTCAGTCCCTGATGAGTCTATATTTTCATTTATATTATTAATAACAGTATGATCATGAATTTGTACACACACAGTAGTTTATAAGTATTATAATAAAATAGCCTATTGGTTGGTGCCTATCATGATTATGTAATAAGTTTATTATATCATTGTAAGGACACAGAATAGATGATAGATGATCTCATCCATTCTACGGTAGGCACGTTCTGTTATAAATGCATTTAACTATTCAAATAATGGTTTATGAGGGAAGGGGGATATAGGTACCATTGTGAACCTATTTTAAGTAACCTATACAAAAAAATAGTTCCGGACCACAGCCTGCACAGTCATCAATATTTGGACATTGAACTTATAATATTAGGCATTAGCTATTGGTAAGATGTTATTTCAATTTTATGTTGATCGTATACAACTTTATCTGCAATAGGTATAAATATACTTTTTATTAAATGTCAAAATGCATTAAATTATGTGTTTTATGTAATAATATATATATACATGGATAGCTATAAAATATTATAAGCAAAGGCTTAAGTAGATTACTTAATTTTAATAATTATTAATTTATAATATATTTTATGTATAGTTCATACTCAATATGTGTTTCTAATGGGGTATCTTTTACCAATTATACAGCTCCAAACCATTAATTTTTCAACTTTGTGCGAGTTTTAGTGTTTTACATTAGGTAATTTTGTGTATTTACTATTTATTTTGTTTCTATTTCGTTTTCTAGTTTAACCTTATATAATAGTTTGTATAGAAACAATATAGGTACATTACAAGTAAATGTATCTGTACCAGTCAAAATGTCAACATTTTTAACAATAGTTAAGTTATAAAAATTAGATTTATTGAAGGATATTGTTTATCCATTAAATAAAGTACCMATGTATACAACTATGCAAGTACCTACCTACTAAATATTTAACAACAATGTATTATAGTACAATTTCTTGTACCTGTGACACTAGCTTAAACATTTCAAAACAATGATAAGATTTATTACAAGTAAAAAAATTATCATCCTTTATGTTTTACAAAATTAGGTGGGTGTATGTTTAATTTTGATATTAATGCATTAGGTACAAATTATAATGAAAAATACTGTCCACGAAACTGACCCGATGTCCTATTCCTGAATGTAGCTTACACATTGTACGAGGTATCTAATATATACATGAGCATGATATAATTATATATAATATTAATAATATTATATTATAGTTATATACCAATAGTGCCTATTAATCTTAATATCAATGTAAATTGGACTATAGACTATATATTATCATCTTACTCATAACTATAGGTATATATTTTTATAGTGCATATCAAACAATTAATGTTCAACCTACCTAAACATTATATGCATTCAGTCATTATTATAAATCATAGTATAAATTGCACCACCTATGCCTTTATTATAATAATTTAATATTTATAAATATTGTTAGTCTGCATTTCGTAGGTAGGTACCTCAGTACCTGGTAGATAATAATGTATCAAATATATTGAATATTGATAGCAACAATAGCATTATAGTGTTATATAACTTAAGAATTAAATACAAATCAATAAGTAGGTACGACATAATTGGTCGGAAAATGTTATTTCTGAATTATATTTATATCTAAAACTGTATTGATTTGGAACACATTTCGTCTCAAAAGTATTTGGTTGGAAACGTATTTCGTTCGAAAACATTCAATCGGAAACTTGAAAACGTATGTAATATTTAAAAATTTAATTATCGAAAAACATAATTTTGAAAATGTATTTTATGGCTTTTATCGAAGTAGTATAAATTCAGGCAGGCGTGAACTTGTTTTAAAATATATTTGCCGTAATCTGTATAAATTCGCCATTTGTATACATTCAATAGTAAAGGTGTCCGCAGAATAAAATCCCACCCGGGACAAGATCAAAATTCAAAAGTCGATCAAAAAGGATGTTTTAAATTTTAATATATTTCTAGTGTCTTCATTCTAAAATAGTTTAACATACATAAAAATTTACATAGAACTTCATGAATGTATCTCAATAAAATGGTGTTATATAATTAATATGCGTGTCATTAAATCAAAAATTGTGTTTGAAAATTCCCAGGAGGGGCAATGGCATCTTTGCCTTCCTCCTACGGACACCATTGAGCCTAAGCGTAGTCTATTTAGCTCACGTCAACATGTACATAACAAAGTGATTATGATATACGCAGGATTTTTCAGCGAAGGGAGTCAAATTATGGAGGTTTTTGGGAGGTAATTGGATCTATTTGGGACCTCGAAATTGAAAATTTTCAGTACTTTTTAAAATAATCGAGAAAAATAAATACGTTTTCTTCCAGTTGTATTGCATTTGATTAATTTTAGTTATTTTTCTAAAAATGCCAATAAAAATGTATTCGTCCATATTCAAAATGCTTAAAAATATAACACATACACGGTTCCTATCATAATTACAAAAAAAAATATGTTTTTTCTGATTCTCGATTTTATAATATACAAATATACTCTCATACTTATTCCTTCAATTTTAATATGCTTTTCATTTTTGTTAGTTTTAAAATAATTTAACTTTACTATTCTCATAGGTATTTTATTTTTAAACTATATATACCTAACTTTCTACCACCAGACTTGTATATACTGAAAAAGCAGATAGGTAGGTATCAAGTAAAAATAGGATCACAAGTTAACAAATTGAACTTTTTTAACTTAAATTTTAAATATTTAAATTATGCTTACCCATAATATGTACCTAATACATTATAAATATACGCAAAGTATACAAATAATAATGTATCGTCGAAAAATATAGATTTAAAAAAACACTATGTAGTGGTCGCACTCTAATAAGTAATAATCCCGGGCATAATACGCGTAAGGTAACAGATACCTATATATAAATATATAATACCCACCTAGAAAATTTGAATGGTTCATTTTCATTGAACTGCACTTGGACTAAAAAATGTTATTATTGTCATTATTATAATTTTGTTTTTATTTCGATCATTTTTGTGGTAATGACAAACTGTATTCAAAAATTCTATCCAGATAATACGTTTTTGAATTTACAATATAAGTCAATAAGCCAATATATTTTTCAACATTATTATTTTTATTCTGGTAGGTACCGTGTTATTGTTGATCATTTATGTCAGTGTTCTGTATTAAAATATGGGCATGACCGTCTTCGACCAAAAACGTACCCTTCCCTTTTCGGCCGATTCACTTTTCAACCACAAAAAATGTTTAATATAATATACAGTAGCTATTAATGTTATACAAATAGAAAATTACTAAAAATTATAATAATAACTTGTATATCTATAATATAATGTTTTTTCGTAAATAGTGGTCGCCGAGTTTGATTGTGATGTGATGACTGATGGCAATTGGCAACTACCATAATATATATATTTTTTTTTTTATTGAACTAAAAAAACATCAACAACAAAGGCTATTAGTTTTTTGTTAAGATACAATGTTAAGGATATTACAATGTTTATATGATGCTACATATGGTTACTATTTAAGTTAATGTTACAATTTTTTTTTTATCAATACGTTAAATTTTGTTGTATAAATCCGATCCTTTGAGAAAGGCTATCATGTTCGATGTGGTCTCGTTGCTCGGTCTCAGAGCTCCATACAAGTTGGGTGGAATGTTGTATTTCTCCAAAACTTCTGAATATTGATAAAACTCTGTTATTATATGTATCACAGTTAGTGTAACCCCGCAGGCTGCACATTGAGGGGGTTCTTCTTTGGCCATGAGGTGTTTATGTGTCATCCTTGTRTGGCCTATTCRGAGACGATTTATAATAATTTTTTCTCTTCTGCTGAGATATTGATTTTTCCAACTTAGGATTGTGTTTTTTATTTCATTGAGTTTGGTCCGTTGTTTTGACCAGTGCGTTTGCCATTTTATTAGTATATTGTTTTTAATTTGGGTTTTGATGTCGTCATATGTTACTATGTCCAGGAACTGTAATATATTCTGGTTGTTAG